TGCATCACTTCGTTACTACTTCATTACTACTCAGTGTAACGTAAAAGAAGTTACATTTAACTAATGTAAAAACAATTTCCTAATTAAAAGGAAACTTAAAACAATGTTCTAAGTGTGATTTTTAAGATGCTGGAACAACCCAAGATTCAGAATATATTTATAATAACCACAAACATGATTATATGAATTTTTCTTAAGGTCCTGTCTGCAACCGAAGAGAATCATCCCCTTGAATCCGATCCTTTACCCCTAATGGGTCTTCAGAATTGCTAAATCACTTAGTTTTTGTGGATGCACAACAACGACCCAGCACAAGGCACTGTGGGCACCAGTGAATGAATGAAACGAAAGAGCACATCTCACTACTGAGTGTGGCATTCCTTTAGGACAAGAGACAGAACACTGCAGCCAACAGCCCTAAGGGTTCCAGGCCCACATCGATGAGCTCTTACGGGGCCTTCTGCAAATCACCTCAGTGTTTTCAAATGGGATTCAGAATGTTAACTGTGGCTCAGGCATCACAGAGTTCTTCTGGAACATAGAGAGAGATCTATAAAACACATCATGATCTTCGAGAAATAGATCACAGAAGTTTGAACGCTGTTTACCAGCAGGATACAAGAAAAGTCATGAGATGCAGCTTGATGATCCGTTTTGGTTATCGAAGACTCAGGACACCTCAATGGTAATGACAAAACAACTCATGATAGAATAAAGACAAATGACTTCTGTATCTTAGGAGTCTACAGCACCTCGGGCCTGCAGATCAGTATCTGGCAGTGGACATTTAAAATCATTTTATTGGTACTGAACCTCATATAAATTCTAACATCAAAATCTGTAAGACGTTAAGAGAACACAGTTAACATGATGTGACATAAATACAGGCAGATGATAGAAATTCATTTTCTTTCTTCCCTGAAACCCAGCTACAGAGAATGTGGAAATATATATATATTTTTTTATCAAGGAGATAATCTGTTTTATCAATAGCTAGGAAGCCATTTTTGTAAATTGTCTGTCAGCTGAAAAAACAATACACTACTTACATCATATTGGAAAAGGAATGACCTCAAGATTTCCAAGCAACACAGCTATTTTTCACATCTGAACTCCCCTGCTGATCATCAAGAATTGTTTCAAATGTCCCATTCTTGGCCTTCAGTTGTGCCAAAGCCTGGACAAGTCCACAACAAAGTGAGTTGCAAAATACTGAACATTTCTGCATGGGGTGCTCAATCTCAAATCGTCTGGCCTCCCTTTCCCTTAGTACACCATCACTCATAGTAGTGTGAAGTCTCTCCTGAATCAAGCTGTGTTTATATTACATAAAGGAAGTGTGAAATCAGAGTTGTCTTGCTTCTCTCTCCTGCAGGCTAATAAACTCCCTCCAACTCATTGTTCTACTGTTCTGTGCTTAGAAACGCTGTGGTCCAAACTCTGTGCTCGGTCAAGGTGTGGCAGGCAGGAGGCAAAGGTGAAATTGGCCTAAAAAGGCTCAGGGCTCACTCAACACACTGCAGGATGCCATCGTCTTCTGTTGTGGGTGTATGAGGGATGCAGCGAAAACTGCGATTTGGGGAGGGGCCAAGAACTGTCTTCTCTGATCTAAAATGGTGCTGTTTTCTCTATCATGCTCTCGACGCAATTCCCAATGATCTAAAATGCCGACGAAGGAAAGAGAGCTCTTCGCCTCTTTTCACCGAACAGCCTGAAATACTAAAAAGCTAAAGGCAGACTAGAAATAAAACACAATTCCGATAGGTTTAAACCAGATTTAAGTTTTTTTTTTTTTTAATTCAAATCGACCCAAAGCAAAACTTACATTACAAAGGAAGAACAAAATACATTATGATATAACACACTAGGAGTTACATGAAAGCTAAATTTGTGGGCAAAGGGCCGCATCCCAATCACATTCCGGGCTAATGAGCAACTCTGCAGGAAAAGTTAGAATCTCCACTTGCGTATGGTCCACTCTGGTAATGAAACTATACATTCTTGTCTCTTAGGGTGCGCATCTGACAAATCACTCTAGGCTCCTCGTGCTCCAGATGTGTACTTCTGCCGCTGCCAGAACAATGAATTCTCTAGCGGAAATGTTGTTCCAAGCATTACGGATAATGAATTAAAAAAAAACCAAACAGTCGAGTCCTCCAAACTAACAAGCGTGGGTTATTTTGTAGTAAATAGTTTAGAAATATGGGAATTAAATAATCTAAAAAACACTCTTAGCTCTGCTGTACATTTATAAACAAATATTTACACACAAAAAAAATCTTGTTTTCAAAAGATGAGGTTTGCAGTTCATTAATGGTCATAATCTTTTATGAGCTGGTTTCTTTGGTGTACTTGCCAAATATACTTTCATAAAGGTTTAGTAATAGGCTCAAACAATAAATTTCAAAAGGAACATGGAAGGGTCAGCGACAAATCTGATGATATTCGGAACATTTCAGTGAAGACTCTGGAAAAACCAGTCAGTCGATTTTTGGAAAATAACTTGTTCTCTCTACTCGTTACGTGACCACCAAATGTGTCTCTGCCAATTAAATTCAAATGCGGACCTGCACGTTGATCCCTATGTTCTACTGGTTACCACCTTTGAGACTAAAATTTTAGTTATGGTTAAACAGGATATGTGACTGGGATTTTACTAACAAAAATAAAACATTCTTTTTAAGTTTCCAGGTTAATCAAACCTCCAACAATAAATAATGGAATTATACACTTCTTCATTAAATAGAAATTTCAATTCCAAGGAAGAGCTCTCATAATTTTTTTTTCCCGAAGTCGCAGCAGCAATGCAGAACAAAGAATTTACCTTAGTCTCATCTTTTTACTTGGAACTCCCTGACTCAAACTCAGTGGCTAACTTAGTTTGGACACCTCTGAATGGCTGGGGAAAGAAAGTCATTTTCATCTACCTGAATAAATGAATACACACGTTTTGAGGAATTAAGCCCTGCGTGAAGGTAACGTTACTAGCACTGCTCTGAGTGCAGGGTCCCGGGCACCCGCCCTCCCAGCTCCTTGTCTCCCTGGGCCTGGGGTTTGACGGGGAAGTAACACTCAGTACATTTCTGGCCATGCCACGTTCCTGACACTACGAGTCTCACTTCTGACTTGGGTACTGGTAGGAAGGATGAGAACACAGCTCAGCTGCATGAGGGACTCTCTCTCGGAAGATGACATTCTGGAGATGGGAGACCACCCATTTCTATCCATCAGGCTCCGGTTAGTCTTGGAATGGTTACCAAATGGGCCACACCGTCACTGGCTCCCTGCAAAAGAGTCTATGTACCCCATCAGCAATCCCCCCGAATCATTCTTTTTCCGGAGCTGCCCGTTCTTCAGGCACCTGGGCACTGCGTAGGCGCGAGCAGATCCAATACACCAATGCCAAAGCTACTCGGGATCCTAGGGAACTGACTCTGTGCTTGAGAGATCGATATCCCTGCTGGCTCTCTAAAAAAAAGGTAAAGCCAGAGTAGATGCTCAATTCTGCTTAGTTATACTTTCCAGGTGAAGGAGTTTTATACTTAATGACTCAAAACTAGACATTCAGACAAAAGAAGCCCTTTATCTTGTAAACGTCTGATAACAAATTTATTTCTAGCGCGTAAATATTTTGAAATCGCCCAAAGCACGGAGAACAATACTGGGATATTTGAAAAGGTTCTTCTGAAACTAAAATGATGACACGTTAATAAGCACAGAACACATTTCCGAGGGCATCAGCGTAGATCCCCAATGTCTCTGGAACCTTTCCCACTGTTACTGACACTTTATCATAACTGTGTTTACACTGCAAACATATGCCCAGTCAACCCAGAAAATAAAACGACCGTCCAGAAGAGCTTCACTGTGCATAACCTTAAAATAGATAGGAAGTGTTGAATTAGCCTATTAGGAATTAACCAGACTTACAAATGTGCACCCATTAGAAATTGTACCCTTTAGAAATTTTTTTTTTAACTGGGAAGAAGGAAAAAAAACAAAAACAAAAAACACCATGAAACCACCCCCAAATTATTTAACTGTTAAAGCCAAATGGCTTAACAATATTTTGGGTTATTTTTAGGGAAGACTCTACCACCAGGATATGAAATTTTCTGCGTAAAGTGAAGTAAAAGACAAAGCTTACAATGGAAATGGCACCTGACATCCTATGGTCCTGCAATTAAAATTAAAGTGGCGGTTCCTGTTCTCACGGGCATGTCAAAGCTGGCTGTGGAATGAGAAACACTGAGTGAAATAATGGATAAAATACACCAGAAAGAGTATTGCACGGGAGGCACTGTTTTAAAAACAGAACACACTGGCTTTATAAAGTTATTTTTGTTTCCATTAATTGTTTTAAAAGCACGATTCAACGAGAGACAGAAGTTGAGACCCAATGTCTCTGGGTAGTGTACTACAGTTGTTAAAAAAATAAGTTAAAAACAAGAGCACACCAACAGGAAAGCAGAGGTACTGGATTTATGTCATCCAAGAGCTACATTAATTAGGAAAGGAACAGTTTGAAACAGCCAATTTGTACTCATTAAAAATGAATGAGGTGACAGCGTTACTTTAAAAATTTCTTAGGGCATTTTCCAGTAGAACCCAGGACCCCCCCCACCCCCACCCCGGGTGAAACTGCGCCTCCAAACCTTAACAAGTGCTCTGCTGGCTTATAATGTTGTGCACGCCCATGAAACCATACATTTGGAAAGGGGAAATTCTCCACTCCAACGCTGCTTGTGTTGTTTTGGAAAAACAATTTTCGTAAATGCAATATTGTATAGAAAGCTTGGACCTCTGAAACTTGGACCAAGAAACCAAATTAAGACCTTCAAGCATGTGGTGTGTGTGTGTGTGTTTATATATATAAAAAAATCCCTCCCCTACCATGAAAACCAAACAAACAAACAATCAAAAAACCTAAAAGTGTATACCTGCTTTCTGACTTCACAGCAAATCAGAAATTGCATAGGATATACTTTGTGCAAGGCAAAAAGCCTTTTAAGTATCTGGAATATAACTCCTAATCTTGCTCACAGTTCTGTGTACATCAGATATCATCGAATTTGTGTTTTAAGTAGTCTTTCATGACCTTGGCAATTGGTAGTTCATCAAGTAGCTTTAGGTTTTGAAGGCCTATACATTGTCGAATTTTAATTCGGCACAGGTCCTGCAAGTTTCTGGGCTGTCCTAAAAAGACAGAAAAAAGAAACTGTTACAAAGCTACACAGTACAATATTTAAGGCAGGCTTTTCAGTTCTGAAAAGAATTATTTGTTTCACCGGGACACGTCTTTCTATGGACTTCACATGCAAAGGACCAGACAGACTTACTGAGAGGACGCACCCTGGAGACCTTCATGTGAGGTTTTATCTGATGCTTTTCACAACCCTGGGATGATGGATATTTTCACCTCCATGTTACAAATAAGGACTCAAGGGATCAGGGATTTGAGCAAATTGCTCAATGTCAGATGACCAGTTAAAGCTTTTTGGACAGAGACTAAAACCAGTTTTTCTGAGTCTAAGCCTGGTATTCTTTTCATTACAAATCAGAATGCCGGTTTTCATCCTGGGATGCCTCTAATATGCTGAGTGAACCTGGGCGAGCAAATCAAAATTTCTCTGTCTGAAAAGTGGGGGAACCAAATGAGATGCTGTCTAATGTGGCCCCTCCTTCAGCTCACCACTGAGGACACTGGAGCCTAGACATGTAGCATGATCTCCAGGGAGCTTTCCCAAGCGACATCTGCCCACCTGTTCGCCATGGTTCTGGACATAGCAGACGCTTGGCTGTGGGCACGAGGGCATAGACTGGGGGGGGCAGGGAGCCAGGCAGAAAAAACACCCCAAGCTATTTTGAATCTACGTGTCTTCAAACCTCACACCCTTACCCAATGTGCCAATAAAAACCACTGCTGTAACTCAACTCAGAAGAAAATTTACAAAATTCAATTTCGTTCACTTCTGAATATCGTATTTTACCAGAACAATTTAGATGACCTCAAACACAAGCAAGAATTCTGAGCAACAGTGCCTCAGTTGCTGGACTCACATAAATTTTGCTCTCATATTAAATGGTAACAAACAGCAAAAGCTAACATGTTGAATGCTTACTCCATGCCATGGGTCCTTATAAGCTCTCAACATACACTAACTCGTTTCATCCTTTTATGAGGGAAGCACTACTTTGATCATCATCCCCATCTTACAGACTCCTTGCGTCTCAGAGAGATTAAGTAACATGCTCAAAGTCAAGTAGAATGCCATACCTCAGCGAATCTCAAACTTCTTGGTCTCAAAACCTCTTTGCATTTTTTAAATATATCAAGGACCCGAAAGAACTTCCACTTATGTGGGTTATATCTATCAATAACTACCATATTAGAAGTTAAAGCGAATTTTAGAAATACTTATTCATTAAAAAATAAATAAATAAAAATAAACCCACTACATGTGGCCACAGACAACACTGGTACAAAAAAACAGTATTTTAAAAAACAGTAAGAATGACATTCTTTCACATTTTTGCAAAGTTCTTAAAGGGCTGGCTTAATAGAGGACAGCTGAGTTCTCATATATGCTTCTACACTTAATCTGCTGTGATAAAGTCATCTTGTCTCTGGACAAGATGAAAGAAGGAGCGTGAAAAAGGCAGATCATGTCTCGGTATTATGAAAACTGTTTTGACCTCAGACAGGGGAAAGGGTCCTGTGGAGCTCCAGGAGTCCCCAAGCCATACATGGAGAACCACTGCTATCTATAATTAGTACTTTACCCCTTACTTGAACTGCCCTTGTTTATAGTGATCGCCATTATTCAAAATTAAGTAATTCTTCATAAATGAAAAAGGCTCCTTTTAACTCTCTGTAAGGGCCTGTGTGAACATGTGCTTTCCAAGAGTTACTTAACACACGGTCTTCTCTGAACAGAACTGCAGAAGCTACTGCTTTCCTAGAAACGCCTGTAAACCTGGGGCATGTCTATCTATGGATACCTGCACGCAGATCAGTGTGAGTCTGTGATACGCTCACGCGTCTCTCGCCAAGATGTGTCTTCTCCATTTTCCAGATCTCTGCTCAGAAGCACTTCATTAGGGGTGACAAAGGTTCCCCATCAGATACTTCAGAGTTCCTTTCTACTACAGCACTTAATAAGGCTGTGATTTTACATTTATTTGGTGATTCTCTACTAATGTCCACCTTCTTCACTATCTGACATGTTCCATGAGGGCCAGACCACATCTGGCTGCCAATGTGGCCCAAGGCCTGACACTGTACTCAGTAAAAACGAGCTGAATGAATGAATACTTAACAGGCTTGTCCATAAGGGACAAACCAGTCAACTCACTGCAAAACCCACCCGTGTCAACAGCAAATCATTTTCTAACCTGTTTTGAATTATTTTTCACCACCCTTCATGGGCTACCATTAGGAAGGGAATAAATTATCATTGTCATTTTTTGATAAGCGCTTACAGTATTTGATCTGCAAATGCAAACCAGAATATGAATTAGATATGAACCTTCTTTTTTCAGAGTAAAGAATCTGATTTTCCTAATAGATGGCAGGTTCTTTTCAAATGTAGTATTAACAAAAAGAACAAGCACAATGTATTCAGACAAAAAACAGGTGAGGATAAGGCTGACATGTAAAAAACATACGCACACTTAAATGGAAACATATCATCCAACAAAGTAGAAAACCTGTATTATTGGGATTTGCTTAGCTAAGGGGGAAAAAGAAGGGATCGAGGCAAAGGGTTACAGAAGGGGGGATCTTCTGCTCATCCTATTTTGTGTCAGACTGTGCTCTCCAAAAATAGCCACAACCTCTCCTGTGCCTCATGTTCTTTTTTACAGTGTGATCCATACGCCCACCTCTAAGAGATGGAGCCTCGGTTCCCCTTCCTTGAAACTGGGTGCACTCATCACTATGGGGGAAGTGAAGCTATGTGACTGCGATGAGTAAGTCACAGAAGGGGACATGCTTTCACCTGGTTCTTGGGACATTCACTCTGCCAACACAGCTACCAGCATGCCCTGAAGAAGTCTGAGCAGTCTAGAAGGAAGAACTGAGGTCACTGCCCAGCAACCCTGGCTGAACGGCTGAACTCCCAACTGCCAGCACCCAATTCCAGCCATCGGAGCGGGCCATCTTGAAAGTGGAGAGGCCCCAGTCAAGAGACTCCAGATGACACTGCGTGGGGCAGAGAAGCAAAATAATCCACCATTACTGTGTTAAGCCACTAAAATTTGCAGCATTAGATAACTGAGATTCTGGGACCCTGAAGTAGGGTGTTGCCATTAAAAAAAAAAAAAAAATTCTAAAATATGTGGCTTTATCACTGGGACCAGCTGGTGGGGAAGGGCTCTGAGGAGTCTGTTAGGGCTTAAAAGAAAGTTCTAAAATGTTACTAGAAGCTGGGAAAAAAAATGTTACTAGAAGCTGGGGTGGGGGGGCTTTTATTAGTAGCAGAAAGTTTGGCAACACTGTCCCCGGTTGTAACATAGAAAAGTAGTAAATATATCCTAATGATCTAGTTAAGAAGATTCCATGGGCCGACTATTGGAGGGGCCACTGGCTCTCCTGTCTATGATAAAATGCAAGAAAGCAAAGATAAGCTGGCACCTGTAATCCAAGGGATGTAGCTACAGAAATCCTATCATCCTCTGAAGGCACCTCCACAGGGCCTCTCCCAGGGAGAGATGAACTTTCTATGTCTACACATCAGAGTTTTACTCGACTTGCTACTGATTTTTCTTCTCCTTTAATTATTAAGTGGTGTGTTGTGGCAATCTTTTACTATTTTGGGAGAATCTTATCTTTTAAAGAGCTCTTGGCCATGTATAATCTGCAGAATGACCTTTAATGGGAGAGGCACATCTTAGTGGTTAAAAGCATCAAGTCTGGAGCATGACGGCCCGGGTCTGACTCCTGGCCCCACCATTTACAATCTGCGTGATCCTGGGCAAGCTCCTTAGCCTCCTGCCTCAGATTCCTCATCTATGAGCCAAGGATAACAACACCTCCATCACAGGGTTTACAAGCATCAAAAAAGTTAATTTTGCGGGCGCCTGGGTGGCTCAGTTGGTTAAGCAACTGCCTTCGGCTCAGGTCATGATCCTGGAGTCCCTGGATCGAGTCCCGCATCAGGCTCCCTGCTCAGCAGGGAGTCTGCTTTGTCCTCTGACCCTATCCCCTCTCATGTGTCCTCTCTCTCTCAAATAAATAAATAAAATCTTTAAAAAAAAAAAAAAAAAGTTAATTTTGCTAAAGTGCTTATGGGTATCGTACCAGACACACAGTAAGGGCTATATAAGTATTTGGTGAATAAAGGTTAAAATAGTGATTTTTCAATACTTGTAAGGATAACGTTTGCTTCTCCTTCCCAGAAAAGTGGAGGGTGCTTCCTGGAAGTTGAGGTCTCCCCTCTTCCCGGTGTTAAGAGAGGAAGACAACTAGTTGGCAGCTTACAGCAAAGGAGCCACTTGGTAATCGGTTACGGGGAAACGGTCCTGGGCAAATTGATGGGAATGACACTGTGGAAATTGCCGCATGATTTAGGGCAGGCAGAGATGTAAGAACCTTAACTATATAAGAACCCGTGCGGTGATGAAGGGAGGGGTGTCTTTACGTTACTGCGCTGCCAACGGAGACAGGGACTCATCTTGCCATGTCGGAACACGGACCGGACAGCAGGCTTTAACAGGCAGGAGTGTGGTAAGGACTACTCATTGCCATCCCTGCTATTTCTAAGACTGACTAGGGAGCTATTTTTTTTCAGGAGTATCATTTTAGGAACAGAAAATGATTGAAAAAGTACTTACTTCCTAGTCAACACATCACTCAAAAAAGATTTACTGTGCACCTATGTACCCCCAAAATGCACTATGCCATGGATTAAAGGGGTGAGGGGAGAGAAGGCGGCAGAAGAAAAGAAGGCAGAGAAAGAGAATAAACAGAATGAAACCAAAAACACTCAACACACGCATGCACAAGGTTTACTAGGTGTCGCAGAAAATTACTCCTAGCCTGTTAAGTAACAATTGCCTTGTTCAAGGGATTGTAACAGGAGAGACCTGGGGGGATAGCTCACACAAGAGTATAATTTCAGCAATCATAAACACTTTGGGGGATGCAGGAACACTACAAGGTATTCACACTAACAAACTACAATGGGATTGCATAA